TGTTGGATCCTGGCTCTGGAGAAGTTTTCCTCTCAACAAGAGAGTTTTTTCCTCAGGCACGGGATGGGATTGTTGGGCCAGGGAGAAGGATTTTGTCCCTTGTTTGGCCTAACTCAGGATATTTTATATTCTCTGTAATGCTCTGGAAGCCAAGTGGCTTCCCAGCTCCATTCCAGCTGTGGCTGGAACCATCCATGTCCTGTCAGGGCTGGAACCTTGGGATATCCATGGCCTGGAATCCTGGGACATCCATGTCCTGTCAGGGCCTGGAATCTTTGTCAGGGCCTGAAATCTTGGGATATCCATGGCCTGGAATCTTGGGACATCCATGTACTGTCAGGGCTGGAACCTTGGGACATCCACATCCTAGAATCCTGGGACATCCATGTCCTGAAATCTTGGGACATCCATGGCCTGTCAAGGTCTGGAATCTTTGTCAGGGCCTGAAATCTTGGGACTTCCCTGTCCTGGAACCTTGGGACATCCATGTCCTGTCAAGGCCTGGAATCTTTGTCAGGGCCTGAAATCTTGGGACACCCATGGCCTGTCAAGGCCTGGAATCTATCAGGGCCAGAAATCTTGGGACATCCAGGTTCTGGAATCTTGGGACACTTATGTCCTGTCAGGACCTGGAATCTCAGCACCTCCATGTCCTGGAATCTTGGGGATATCCATATCCTGGAACCTCAGGACATCCACGGCCTGGAACCTCAGTGACCTCAGCTCCACGCATCAGGAGACTGAGCAATCAGCTGAAGAAAACCTGAATAAATCCTTTTCTAAAAGTTACCCAGTAGCTTAAAGCTCCCTCAAAAGAAACTCTCGCCTGTGGAAAGCTCAAGCTGAGGCCCAGCACATGGAAATCCAACTAAAGAACCCCAAATGTGCTGTAATTCCAGCTCAGCCCCAGCACAGAGCCAATATTTCACCCCGTTCTTGCACAATTAAAAGCTGCAGGGCCGGAAGTCAGAGAACTCAAAGCTGAGTTGAGAATTTAGTGTTTTGTTGAACTTCCTCCCACAAAGTACATTTCAAAAAAAAAATAAACACAGCAGACAGTAAAAGCGTGACTTTCATATAAACCATAACAGCAATTGCACAGAGCACGAGATCAGCTCGCTGATAGAGAAAAAGGAGAAATTCTTGCCAAACAAAACTTTCATGGGCTCCAGCCCAGCTTTCTCGTGCACTCAATTGTTTAATTGTTTAATGGCTGTACCTTGAACTACAGGCACCCTCAAGATTTTAGGCAGCTCAGCTGCAAGATCTGGCTCCAGGATCACTCACAGCCACAGGAAAATCCATGGAAGTGCAAGGCAGGAGCTCAAATGCAGGGTGGGAATCAGCCCCCGAGGGGGAAATTCTGCTGCTTACAGAAATCCTGCTAGCAGAGCACAGAAATGAAGGAATTAACCTGAGCCCTCCATCAAGAGTGCCTCACTGGAAGCTCTGATGGAGCTGGAATTCTGCTGCCTCTGAGGGATAATGACTGATCTGTGCCTCTTCCTTCCAGGAGGCTGCAGGTAAAAATTCGCATTTCTCTGGCTCAGATCCAACCTTCAGTGCTGTGTTTGTATCACTGAGAGCCGAAGCACAGCAAATAAACTGCAGGAGGATGATCCTTGTGCCATTTGGATTGATTTTAAAAAGGAGGAGAGCTCACAGCCTCTTTAATCCTTTCAATTGGAAAAAAAAATAAAACAGCTTCATTTCCCTTACAGGTAAGTAAAGACCCCTAAGCCAGTTAAAATGTTTTTTGGAACAACTACACAGCTCCAGCAATTAGGAATGACATTTGCTGTAACAAGAGGCATTTTTAAGATGCTGCTTAACTATCTCATGTCCCTTCCACAATAATCTGGCAAATTCTGGGCCTCCCTGCTCACAGTAAACACATTGCAGCACACAAAAGAGATCTTATCTGTGCGTTAGGAGTTACTTTTAGCAAATGTGCTTAAAAAACAACCAATTAGCAATGTCTGTGCTCTGGGGGCTGGAAATGGGGGAATTAAGAGAGAGCTGCAGCTTCACTTGACAAACAACCTCAATTCTCCTCTTTAGATCCTATTAGGAAAACAAGAGAGAAGCACAGGAATGAGGCAAACATTCCATCAAAGCCAGAGTGGACAGCTTTTCCTCCAAACATAAAAAAAACTTGTAAAAAAATGAAAAATCCCTGCAAACGGTGGTTTAGCAGGGGCAGAGAGCTGCAGGCACACATTTGCAGAACGAGGAGCTTTCCTGGCTGGCTGGGACACAAACCCATCCCATCCCCGTGCTTTCTGCACTTGGCAGCGAGGGTGACTAATAAATGTGGATCAAATTCAACAGCTCCACTGCAAAGGAACAAATGGCTCTTTGTCTCACCCCAGCAGTGTCCGAGGAGCACTGGACGTGGCGCTCAGGGCCTGGGCTGGGGACAAGGTGATGATCAAAGGCTGGGCTCTGGTCTTGGAGGGCTTTTCCAGCCTCAGGGATTCTGGGATTCAGCCCAGCATCCCAGGTTGCTGGTGAGAAGGGCAGGGATGGAGAAGAAATCCCTGCATTCCATGAACCCAGCCCAGCACATCCCTCCGAATCCCAGGCTGGAGCTGCAGTGAAATTTAAGAATTTCTATTTCCTCCTTTTGTTCCTGATGGTACAAATAAGACCAAACAGATTTCATTTCCTTATCTGTTCCTCACACCGGCTGTGTGCTACCCACCCACACGAAATATTTGGGTACAGAATGCCTGCTCAAGTGCCCTGCTGGGCAACTCCCTGCCCTGAGGCTTGCTCAAATTATTGCTTCTTCAACCAACCATCCCTTCTCAAAGGGACAGAAAACTGGAGCAAACCTTCCCAGCTGTGGCCTTGGAACAACCAGGGCCAATCCCTGCACCCAAGGATGTGCTTTGCCCAGTTTTATGTCATTTCAGCAGGGTGTGAAGTTTGAATTACACAAATTCTCTCTCACACACACACATTTTCTTTCCCTTCTGTTTCAAGCAGGCAGAGAATTATTCCAAACCCCACGTCGGGTCATCAGTTCATCCTTGTGGGGGAGGGAACCAGAGGAAATTCAAAAGTCCTTTATCCCTATCCCATGAGTAATCTGGTGGGAAAAAGCAAGCAGGAGATGCTGAAACGCTGGCTAAATTCCAAGTTCTGAGTGGCTGCAGTAAGATCTGCCAGTGGAAAACAAACCAGGGAACCCACACATGGGACACTTGAGGAAACCCACACTGCTGGCAGCACACAGAAGGATGCCCAGACCATCTGGGGCAAACGTTCTACAAATGATTTCAGATTTTGTGCTCAAAGCATCAGTAAATGCATAAATGGAGAAAATGAATCTGAGTCTGAACGGGCTGGGGAGGGGCTGGGATGAATTCCCAGAGGAGCTGTGGCTGCCCTGGATCCCTGGAGTGTCCAAGGGATAGTGGAAGGTGTGGAGATGGGCTTTACAGTCCTTTCCCACCCAAACCATTCCAGAATTTTATGATGGATACTCAAGCTCTCCCCCAGACTCTCAACTCAAAGGCTTTTTAAGAGGATTGCTTCAGACAAACAGAATTCCCACACAAAACAAGCCCCAAACATTCCTGAAGTGAACAGAAAGGGCAGGGATTGTTTCCAAAGGTACCTGCTTGGAATTGCACTTCCATTTTCTTACCCTGACACTCCACAAAGGGGAGAAATATCCCCTTGTCCATCAGCTCCTGAGGCCTGAGAGCTGGCAGGGAGCGAAGGATGATCCCTGCATTTGGGGTGCTCTGTCCCACTCAGCTGACAGCAAAGGGCTCTTCCCACATCCAGGAATAAATAAATAAATGCACGCCATCACTCCTGCACTGGAATGTCTTGTGCAAATTAGAGCCTTATTCGGGAGTATTTCTGATGGAAAGGTGATGAGACACATACTGAGCACCTCGTTAGCTCCAGCACCAGCACTGCCTGCAATGGTTATTCAGCAATTAGGGCTCAGACTAAAGCTAAACACATACAGGGCACCTCTGCAAAGAACACCTGAACCAGAAGATGAAATTACCAAAATCTCGCTGCTTTGCCCTCAATTACAGCAGCTAAAGCAAAAAAAATATACAAACCACTGTGCCAGATCCTTCAGAAATGCACAGACAAGCTCAGCACTCACACATCAGGCCTCCCACATCCCCCAGCCCTCCAGACTGTCACTGGAAAGTACCTGCTCAGCTTTGTTTACAAGGGATTTCTTCTGCAAGGGACTTTTTTTTCTCACTCACCCACCCTCTCTCCCCAGATCTCCTCTCACCAAGCTGCTCCTCCCACCAGCAGGGAATCTTTGCTGGGGTTTCGAGCCAGCAGAAGGTTCCACCACACAGAAACCACCAGGCCTGGTGCATTTTAAGGCAATATTGAGGAGTATTAGAAGTTAACCACGCTGTGAAGGGCCCCGTGGAGCCAGGAAAATCACACATTACATAATGCCCTGGGAGCAGCAGATCCTCCTCAGCAGCCCCACCACAGATTTCTACCTCCACACAAAAATCAGCTGCAAGGAAAGTAGCCACAACTGCAAAAGAACCCTCAACTCAGAAGCTCAGGCTGTAATGGATCCAGCAAATTTCCAGCCTGGCACTCCTTCCCAGCACGGATGAGAACATTCTAGAAGCCTGACAGATTTGGGGGTAGTTCTGTTTACTTTGGGGTTTTTTTTTAATAATGAAACTCTGTGGTTTATAAGAACTACCGAAAGCAGACTGGGTTTTTTTTCCTTTTTTTTTCCTAAGACTTAGTTTGTTTTTTCTCAAAGCCCCCCTTAAAAATAACGGATGTTTAAACCATATTTAGAGGCTCAGCTAAAGCAACTAATGAGTGTTAGGTAAGACGTCTCTCCATGTAGAACAATCTGTTCCAAAACTTACCAAAAATAGCAATTCTCTAAACACTGCTGTGATGCAATATTTAACCCCTTGCTGCAGCAGCAGCTGAATTTGACCATTTCCCCCCAACCCAAGGAGCTCTGCAGCTCTCCTTACCTAGGCTGGTGGGTTTGATCAGCTCATCCAACAAGTCGTAAAAAGGGAGTTTCTGCAGCTTGATGTCGGGGTGCACGGGGTGCAGGGCCGAGGTGAGGTGGGGCAGTTCCAGTTCGTGTTTGGGTCCCAGCAGTGACACGGGGAGCAGGGGGGACGTGGCGGGGTGGCCGTCGTAGCCCAGCTGTGGAATGGTGGAAGGCGACAGCGCGGCCGGCATGGAGCTCGAGTGCACGCTGGGCAGGGACAGGTCTGCCGGGGTCATGATTTTCTGGGGGAACCTTCTCCTATAGAGTTCTTTGATTTTCATCTGGACGGCGGGGCTGCAGCCAGCCTTGAGCAGGTGCAGGGCTTTGGTCAGCAGTTCGTGTTTGCGGCCGTGCTTGTTCCTGCCCGCGTAGCCCAGCAGCACCTGCAGCTCCGACACTCGAAGGCTCATAACCATTTGCTTCAAAGAAACAGAACACAGGGTTAACAGCTGAATTCAGCACCCTCACCAGACACAAAACAAAGGTTTAGTAGGTGACTTTCAGCACCCTCACCAAGGCTCAGAACCATTTGCTTCAAAGAAACAGAACACAGGGTTAACAGGTGAATTCAGCACCCTCACCAGAAACAAAACAGTTAACAGGTGAATTCAGCACCCTCACCAAGGCTCAGAACCATTTGATTCAAAGAAACAAAACAGAGGGCTAACAGGTGAATTCCAGAATCCTCACCAGAAACAAAACAGAGGGTTAACAGGTGAATTCTGCACCCTCACCAAGACTCAGAACCATTTGATTCAGAGAAACTAAAAAGAGAGTTAACAGGTGACTTCAGTACCCTCACCCAAGACTTACAACCATTTGCTTCAGAAAAACAAAACAAAGATTTAACAGGTGACTTGAGCATTCTCACCAGAAATAAAAAAGGGTTAACAGGTGAATTCAGCACCCTCACCAAGGCTCAGAACCATTTGATTCAAAGAAGCAAAACAAAGAATTAACAGGTGACTTCAGCATCCTTGAAGCCCGTTAACCATGAAGTTTTCAAGGCTCTGTGCCACTGCTCTGCCCCCCTGTACAATGCTCACCTATTTAATACAACACTCAGTGTTTATTTTCAAGTCTGCAATGAGAGATTTTTAAAGGCATTTTCATTCTGTGGGCAAAAAGCTGAGAAAAGGACTCAGTGCAAAATAAAGGTTGTAACTCCAATTATTTTTTAATCACTTGCTGAAATCTCTGATGGTACTAATTTTTCCTTGTTCTAGCTGGATGTAAAAGCAGTTGTCCACTGACAATATCCAAACTGTGCCAACCCTTAACTCCAAACAGCACTTCCAAGAGCCTCCCTCAGCTCCTGCCATGCAGCAGAGCTGATCCAAACAGACTGAAGGAAAGGAGATCAACGACATTAAAAGGAGAGTAATAATCCCATTTGAGCCTTGTCACCATTCCTGGGGTAAAGGAAACTTCCTCCCCTTCCACCTCTGCCCTTCTCCCATCAGAGCTGTGTGTCCTGTTTGGATGGGTGAGCTGGGCTTTGCCCTCTGTTAATTAGCATCTTCATTAACAGAGCCATTTAGTGCCTCCCAACAGGACCTGGTGAATCACACTGGTACAACTTGTCACCTGTTTCACTTCTCCAGGAACTGAGAAAAACACTTCCCAAACCAGTGAAACCAGTAATCACCAGTGTGCACCAACTGGGCAGGCAGGAGCCAGAAAATCCACTTCAGGGCCTGGTTTTTATTGGAAAATACATTTCAGTGCTTGACAGGGGCTTGCTGGCCTGAGACACCAGCAGGAATGGTGATATCCCTGCAGAAGTTTGGATTCCCAAGGAATCCTAAAGAAATACAATGCCTAAAACCCATGGATGTGACAGGCTTCTGCAGGAAAGCATGGAACACCCTGAATGTCCTGTGGTCAATCCCAGAAGATCTGATTCCAAACAACACTTGATGGATGGATGGATTTGGGACCAGGGCAGCTAATGCAGCACACGAGGGAGGGCTCTGCAATTTCCCAGCCAGTGGAGGAGGAAGACCCAGACCAGAATTTGCATTTGGAATCTCTGAATTTGACTATAAATGCTCCCATCCTCTCTGGTCCTTCAAATTGTGTAAAGCACTCAGTCTCAAACACTGTTCTGATTTTTTACACATTAATTCTCAAACCTGAAGTGCCAAGATTAGAAAGGTGCTACCCCTGGCTTTAACAAAACCAGCCCAAAACTCCCATCATCTCCTCAGAGCTCCAGCCCCTGCCAGAGATCTTCACTGCCCAGGTGTCCAGGGGGGGTTTTCCCTCCACTGAAACTGCTCCTGGTATTTAAAAGCCCTAAATGAGATGATTCATGCCTTTAATGAGGTTTGCAGCAGCCACACTGAAGTCAAATTTGCCACAAGAATTCTGCTCTGCGGGACCCCAGCTTGGGAACCTCTGCAAATCCTTGCTGCAGCCTTCCACAAACCTGTGATAGAACTGGAACTGCTTGATTTCCCTGAATACCCCAAGAACCTTCTTCACACTGAACTCTGAGACTGTCACAGAGCCACTAATGAGAACAGACGAGGTACTTGGGAAGAAATGAAGATGTCTTAAAAGAATAAGGCATTTCAGCTCCAATCTGAAGTGTTGACAGCTGAAAGGAAAGTGAAACAAATAGATTTGAAACATGGAAAAACACTATTTATAATGCTATACAAACACTTCTTCAGCAGAATGAGTAGTTACAGCTGAAGGGTTTAATGCCATCACCATTAAAAGTCACTCCCTGAACAGGCAGAACCTCTCAGAGCTTCACTCTGTTCTTGTTTGGTGATAAACTCACGGGCTCAGCTCGCCAAGAGCACAAGAGGATTAAGAAATAACTGAGGCAAGGGAGAAGCTCCTGCTCCAGGCTGGATAATTTCCATTTTTAAGGTAAAGGCGAGCTGGAATGAGCACCCAGAGAGCAGGGTCCGTGCTGGAGCCAGACTCAGAGACCAAAACAAACAAAATCCCCACATCTTCCCCACCCGTGCATTCCTCACACAGGAGGACAAGAACAATTTTGTTTGCAGCGTTCAGGGCACTGACAGATCCATCCTCAAAGCCAGCACTAAAGCCTGGTGGGTTTATTGTACTTCCATCAATTACAGATAAATCTTTTATCCCCATCACAGAGAGGCGATGCCTCACGCCATGCCCACCTGGCACAGGGCACTGCCAGGGGAAGGTGTCCCTGGGAAGCCCAGCTGGGAAAAGTCTCCTAAACATCAACAGGAGAATTCCTGTCCCTCCTCCAACCCAGCTGTGGTTTACAGGACCCAACCTGTGGGAAATGGATTTGTAAGAGATAAGAAATGCTGACTTAGAAATGCCATGGAACTGGACAGACATTGCTGAGAGAGAAATGGAACTAGAAACAAGTTTAAAGGATGGCCTTACAAATAAAACTAGATTATTTTAGAGAAATAGAACTTTGAAAGATGCATTGCAGTGGGACTCACAAGAGGTAATTTTAGATGACTGGCTTTAAGGCATTTACAGCATGGTGTGGCTGAAGCTGATAGGCCAAGAAAACTTGTAATGTATTGTAATTAGGAAATAGGCTTCTGATTGTGATGGTGTGAATTATAACATCTGTACTGTCCCTCCCTTCTCGTGAGACTGGAAATGGAATAAAAGTTTTAAAACACCTCTCAGTTGCCCCATCTCTGGGTCAGAACAGGGCATCATCACCTGACACCAGCCCAGCTCCACAGCAGAAATGCAAGCCCTCCCCATGCTCTGATCCACGGGATCCTGACCCTGGGACAGGCAGGCTAACACAGCAGGGAAACTCGAGTGCTGCCAAACACATCAAGAAAATCCACAAAAAAGCCTCAATTTCTCCTGTTTTCTCTGCCACATCTCATCTCAACTCCAAGCCCTTGCTGGCTCAGCTGCAGCAGCAGGGCTGAAAGGCAAAGACACAAAGAGTTTTGCTGCAGGAAATGTTGCTTTTCTTTCCTGCTGCCGGCAGCAGTGGAGCACAAAGATCAGTGGCACCTGCCAGGTACAAACCCCAGCACAAAGACTGCCCCCAAAAAACAAATTACTGCCCCCACCCCTGGCTGCAGAACTGCCAAAATGCTGGGATTTCTCTATCCTAACAGGAATAAAGTAACAAAACAACAACAAAAAGCTGAACGGCAGAGAAATGAAAGGATAGGCACAGCTCCCAAGGACTGGCTGCAGAGAAATCCTGCACGCTGCAATTCCAGGTGTTCACTTGTGGGGATATTCACTCCTGCAAACAGCACTGCAGTGCACAAGGAACTGATGTTGTCTAGCTCTAAAAAGGTCGAGGTTTTGGCACTCAGCTTCAAATGCCAGCAGCAAGCACACGCTGGCATTGTCACTCTGGTACTGAGGGAACACTCAGTGTTCAAAAAGAGGATGAGGATGGTGAGAAACATTTTTCAGAGAGTAAAGGCTGGAAGAAGCTTTCCAGAAATCCAGCTTAGCTGGGGGTGGTGGCACATTTCTGCTCTGCCTGCCTGCAAAGACCTTCGTGGAGCGAGGAAGGGATCTCTGCACACACCTCTGGCATTTCCTGCTCCACAACCCAACCCAAGCACGTGTTCCTGCACCACAACTGCATCACCCATGGATTCCTTATCCCTGCACCCCAACTGCAGCCTTCCCAACCCCTCAGGGGTTTGCTGCCATCCACCAGCCCCACGACTGTCTGTGGGAGGTGCCAAAGAGGCCAGGTTGTTTTCCCACCTCCCTGTGTCCAACCTGGGCCATTTTTCATCCAAAGCACTCGATGCCACTCCTGCTGCTGCAGGAGCATCCCGAATTTCTGTGTGTTGAGGGAACACTCTGCAAGAACCCACCTGGAAACAAGGAGCATTCCACCAAGGAGATTTGGAAAAAAATTCATTTAAATATATGGGAGCAATCCATGGGCAGCACTGATGTCATTCCCCTCGGGCTCTCTTACCCATAGGGATGGGATCTTCTACCCACAGCTCCTTCCCAAAATTATCAGGATATTTTTTTAAAAAGCTATTGAAGATGAAAACTGGTGAAGGTAAGAATCATCTACCTGGATTTTCTCTGCAACAGCAGAGATGAAATTTGGCTTTCCACACAAACCCAGTTGTTCCAGCCAAGGAAAGATTCCCAAACTGAGCTCAAGGAATTCCAGCCCTCAGCACAGCTTAACAGCTCAGAGCATTTCAGGAGCAGCATCTTGTCTCCATGACCTATGGAAGCTGGGAATTAAGCTTAAAAATAAATAACATACAAGTGTTAGTTCCTCTGGATAAGAAATTCCCTGGATAACCTGTGGCTGGTCTCACAGGCACTGATTATTCAGGGAAATAATCTGTGAACCTGAATTATTTCCCCCATTTTTAGAAGGGAGGGACTTGTCTGAGAGGTCAAAACCAGGTAGAAACCCATATTTATTTATATTTTTAATAAGCTGAGCAGGATCCACGGAGTGATGGACACGGCCGAGCATTTTTCACCCATCCAGCAGCACCAAAACTGTCCTCAAAGCAAAATATTCCAATCCAAGTTTGATCCATGTTTTTTTAAAAGGATATTTCTCCAGTTATCAACCCTAGGATCTATCAGGAGAATCCAACGAGTTATTCCTGGATGTTTATGATAAGCAGAAGCAGGGAATAAGCTCCAAAACATATTTAAATTATTTGCCAGCACAACAAGAAGCATTTGGCTTGGGCCCACACCACATTCTGTGCCTGAAGCAATCCAGCAGGTCCTCCCCAGTCCTCCAAGCATTAACCTCAAAAATAAGGGGAGGAAAAAATAGGAATGAAAAGAAAATCACCTCAAACACCAGTGAAAATAGGAATGAAAAGAAAATCACCTCCTCCCCAATCCTCCAAGCATTAACCTCAAAAATAAGGGGGGCAAAAAAATAGGAATTAAAAGAAAATCACCTCAAACCCGAGTGAAAATATGGAAGAGAATGAGTAAAAAGAGAGAAAAAAAGAAATGGGAGATTGTCTATTTATAAACAGCAATTCCAGGCAGTGACGGTAAATTTGTTATTAAAAACACAGTGATTAGCTTTAGTGATCTTTTAGTAATTAAGAGTCATTATGCTAGAAGAGAGCAAGCTCTGCAGCAAATTCCTTCAAAGGGGAAGGACAACACGAATGGAAATTTCCCCCTTATGGAAAAGGAATTCTGTAATCAAAAGACAGGTAAAGGAATGGAAATTGATCTTTTTTTCTGTAATAAAAGCAACGAGGAAGTGTCAGATGAGTATGGAAATGGTTGTGAATGAATCCCAGTAAACTGCAGGCCCAGCTGTAAAAACACAGCTCCTGCAAGCTCTGAGCAGCCTCCTTAACCCCTGAGAGGAATCTTCTGGAAAAGTGACACTCGTGGCACTCCTGGCTTCTTGCACATTCCACATTTGTGAACCTGGCCATTCACAAAGGTAAAAAATCCCCATTTTTAGTAACCCACATCCCCCAACCCCAAACCCCACCTGCAAGGCTCACCCAAGGGAACTCTCAAGGCTGAACTGTGAAAATTGAGCTCGTGCTCCCAAAATTCTGCAGGAGGGAGTGAAGCAAACCCCGGGAAGCTGCAGGGACAGCCTGGGACTTCCTGCCTTTGTCCCAGCCACAGAACAGCCACAGGCTGGAGCCCCTGCAATTCAGAGCAGAGCAGAGCACAGGCACAGAAGAACAAACATAAATATGCAACATCCTGCAGGCTTTAAGGAGGGTTCCATCAGGAAAAGCTCTTTTTTGGCTGCACTGGGACCTGCAAGGTTTTGGGAATGAAGGCAGAGCTGGAGGAGTAAAGGAACAAGGCAGCAGCAGGTACAAATATGATTTTGTTGCACATCCAAGAGGATTGAGGATTTCTGCATCAAAGAAAGCTCTGTTTCCACAGGGTATCAGTGCTCAGAAAGGCCAGGTTGTAATTGCAGGAGCAAACTGAGCAGCTAACAAGAAAAACGGGCTTGAAACAGTAAAAATCAGTCAACAAAACAATGCTGGAAATGCCAAACCAGCCCAGCAGAGCTGCTGCTGGCACCCCCAGAGATCAGGGCTTCCTTAAATGCAGACTGCACTCCTGCTTCTCCCCAGTCATGCATTCCCTGCCAGAGCTGCAGCCAGCAGGTGTTATTTACCTTTGCAGGCTCACAACCAGGAGATTTCCTCGTCAATCCCACGGTGCAAACCTATTTATAGAACCATTGTGACCCTTGAACCAGCCTGGGAGGGAGGATGCTTTTCCAGCTCAACCGTTCTGTGCTTGTGCCGTTTTAAGCTCAGATTCTACAACTTTGAGCTCAGGGCTAACATTAAGAAGCTGGCAGGGAGGAGATCATAAAAACTGCAGCACTTGAGGTGGAAGCTTCTGGGCAGGATCTCCCACCAAAATCCTTCTGTACCAGCCCATGGAAACACAGAGCTTGGAATTCCACAGGTAAATCATCCACAGAATATTCCCCTGGCAAGCACTTCTTCTGGTTTATATCTATTAGGTTGGTAAAACCTGACTATCCCCAAATTCAGTGAGTTTTAGGAAGCTCAGTGATGCTTTTTTCATACCTGAACACCAATAAATTCAGTTTTAGGAAGCTAAGTGATGCTTTTTTCATACCTGAACACCAATAAATCCCCAAATTCAGTTTTAGGAAGCTCAGTGATGCTGTTTCATACCTGAACACCAATAAATGGGAATTCCAGCCTGTGAATTCCAGCCAGAGCTCTCCAGCTAATCCCACGCCAGTGATGTCACTGAGTTCTTTGGGATGTCTGTCACTGCCTGGATCCCAAAAACCCACGGGGATAAAAGTCCCAAAATGATGAGTGACAGGGTATTGGAAAAGCAAACAGAGGCAGCTCCAGCCCCCTGAACTGCTGCTGGGCAAAGGCACAACTTGAATTTTTAACATAATCCCCACCTCTTAATGGTTGTCCTCTGCCTTTGGCAGACGCCTGTGGGATTTTGCTGTGCTCTGGGAGATGGGAAATACCTAAACCTGGCACTTTAGTGCCCTTCTAGACCCCAAATCCAGCCCTTTTCCTGAATTTTTTTCGTCTGACAGGGAGATCCAGCCAAATTGGGTGACCACACACCCCAAATTCAGAGTTTGCCCACTGAACCCTGTGGGGTTTTTGAGAGAACCAGCTACAGTGTGTGACCAAACACCCCAAATTCAGAGTTTGCCCACTGAACCCTGTGGGGTTTTTGGGAGATCCAGCCCAAGTGTGGGACCAAACATCCCAAATTCAGAGTTTGTCCACTGAACCCTGTGGGGTTTTTGAGAGAACCAGCCACAGTGTGTAACCAAACACCCCAAATTCAGAGTTTGCCGAGTGAACCCTGTGGGGTTTTTGGATGGTCCAGCCCAAGTGTGGGACCAAACATCCCAAATTCAGAGTTTGTCCACTGAACCCTGTGGGGTTTTTGAGAGAACCAGCCACAGTGTGTAACCAAACACCCCAAATTCAGAGTTTGCCCACTGAACCCTGTGGGGTTTTTGGATGGTCCAGCCCAAGTGTGTAACCAAACACCCCAAATTCAGAGTTTGCCGAGTGAACCCTGTGGGGTTTTTGTGGGATCCAGCCAAACTGGGCAACCACACACCCCAAATTCAGAGTTTACCCACTGAATTCTGTGGGGTTTTTGGGAGATCCAGCCACAGTGCGTGACCAGAGCCCCAAATTCAGAGTTTGCCCAGTGAACCCTGTGGGGTTTTTGTGTGGTGACAATAAGGACACACCAACCATGCTGGGCAGAGCTGCTGGGGCAGGATTTGCTCCAGCTGTGAGAGAGATTTGTTAGGAGCAGCCTGCCAAGACTTAAGTCATGTCTAAAGCAGGTTTGATTTAAAGCAAGCCCCATTTTATCTTAATCCGTAACGAAAGTTTTACCAGGCCCAGGAGAATTTCCCTGCTAGGTGAAGGATATTATTACTTTTGGTATTAAATAAGGTTGCTGACACTGTGGTAATCTCCATTTTCTTGGAGACTCCAGGTTCTTTTCAGCCATGCTTAAACTTAATTGTCCCTGGTGTTTTTTCTCTTAGCAGCTGGGAATGATTTCCACGCCAGGCAAAGGCAGAAATTCCAGTTTAGGAATTCCTGGATCTGACACTGGAGCCTCTCTGCAGACACACCTGAGGCTGAGGGTGAAGACAATTATTTGGGAGAGGGTCACTGCCAGCCAAATTGACTTTTGCTGAAGAAAATTCTCCACCAAAGCCTTGCTGGCTGACAGAGGGGCAGCTCCCACGGGATGAGGTGCAGTGGAGCCCCAGGCAGATGCAGGCAGATGTGCAAAGAGCTTCCTAAACCCAGTGTCCTCCCAGGATCACAGCTTCTAATCACAATGAAACAGCTGTCAGAGCACTCAGGAGCAGTCTGAAATGCTGTCTGTTTGTGGAAAAAACATGACAGGACCAAGAAGCCACACGGGAGGTCACAAATTCACATTGATTTCCCCTCCCCATGGTTTAAAACAATCAAATATCCACTTTAGAACCCACAATTAACACAAAAGAAATGGTCCCACCAACTCTTGGAGTGATTTGGGATTTCCAGACAGGGTTTTCCTGTCAGACCCCCTTGCAGCCATCCTTTCCCAACCAGATACAAGCTCTGCTCACTTCCTAAATATCTCAAATACCTGCATGGAGCACAGGGAGCTTTTGCAAGTGAATTTGGAGGGAAAGCTGGAGAAGAATGCACCCGGAATTCCATGAATGTACTCCAGGAGCAGCTCCCAGAGCCTCTCAGCAGCAGGACACCCTCAGCAAGACCAACATTCCCACACCCAGGGGTGATGTGTGCTTGTAAACCTCTGTAAATCTAAGCCAGCATTGCTTGCCTTGTGTTTGTCAACTCCAACTTGATTAAAATAAATCTTTGACATAAGAGATGCAGATTGTCCTCCAAGATTTGAAAATATAATCTTATTTCTGTACCTTGCAAAGTGATTTATTCCCCACGTGGCCTAAGTGAAAAATTAGTTATCCACTAAAACTTTGCTATTAATTAGCTCCAAATGAGCTAACACTTCAAGAGATGAGATTATGCACTCAAATATACCCAAACTATCCCTTTTTTCTCCTCGTTTGTCCCATTTTCTAGGATGCAGCACAGGAGACAGACGACATCATCCCTGACTATTATTCTGGTATCTCAAGAAGGTTTAATTAAGAATCATATTAAATTTGGATACTGGATTGCAGAGTGCTGAACAGCAGGGTGAAGGCAGTACATAATTGAATCTCATTTCCCTGAAAAGTAACCAATGGCTCTGCTAATGCCCCAGGAGAGGCAAAACTGCAAAACTGGAGTGATCAGCTCACAATTCACGCTGCAAAAGGGAAAAAAATCATGAAAGCCAAACTGGAACATGACAAAATTCATGTTTTCTTCTGGAATTCTAGGCAAAATTCCCTTCAAGGAGTGAATTCCCAAGGTGGGAGCTCAGGCTTTGTCAGTGGGTACCAAGGGCCAGGATCACCCCGGCCACATCCATCCCACAGGAGGTTTGTTGGGATTTTCTCTGGAATACAGAAAAACCTCCACTAACAGCCCAAAATGGGGGAGGAAAGAAAGGGGGGGGGGAAGGGAAAAAGGGGGGGAAAAGGGAAAAAGGGGGGGAAAAGGGAAAAAGGGGGGGAAAAGGAAATACGGGGGAAAAAGGAAAAACGGGGGAAAAAGGAAAAAAAAGGGGGGAAACAGGAAAAAAAGGGGGGAAACAGGAAAAAAAAGGGGGGGAAAAAAGGAAAAAAAAGGGGGGGAAAAGGGGGAAAAGGACTATGACATAAGGTAAAACATCAGGTATGGGAAATTATAATTTATCTCTAAAAGATTCCCTTCCCAAAGGAAATAAATCTGCTGACAAGAAATCCCTCTGAAATCCCCATGCCAAACAGCCCGTGCCCCTCTAACAGCACTGAAATAATAATTGATTACTACCAGCAATTAACCTGATTGTGATCACAGAAACGAGCCCTGGAGTTGCCACTGCAAAAAGCAGCTGAGAGCAAGGATCCCACCAAGCAAACACCCTGGCACCTGCATGGGAAAAGGCACATTTCCGAGAAAATTCCACATTTCTTTGTGTCCTAAGGTCTTCAAAGCCATGCACAGCAATTACCTCAGGCAGCCAAAGTACACAGCTTTTTTTTGGGGTTTTTTTTGGGTTTTTTTTTTGGTTTTTGTTTTTTTTTTTTTGTAGGCAGTCATATGGCAATAAGTCATCAAGATTAATTAAGAGCTTGAAGGATCCTGAGAAATTGTCTTTTTACATTCAGTTTTTACGATATTTAAATAAAGGATTTGTGCCCCTGAGATGTTTTTTCACTGTATTAGTTAAGAATTGCAGCCCCTTTCTATTTTATAGAAGCATTTACC